CAGCTATATCAGAGAGGGCTCCCATCTCTTCACACCCCTTTCTGAAAAAGCTATATCGTGTAGACAGAGCCCTAGTCACCAGTGCAATCCAACTCCTCTATTGACCTGCAGGCTGTGACATGCAGGTTGCAAAGGTCAAGTCTATTTCAGGAGATTCCTGTCAAGAGTGAGGATGCCAGAGCCTGCTCTTGTGGAGATGGGCTGTGGAAGTGATGGCTGCTTTCAGTTTGTGTCATCGCTTGCCTTCAGCAGACAGACCCCCCTGGTACAAGCTAAGGAAGACTGTCACTTTGTGGGGCAGTGTTACTGAGTTGTCAAATACTTGGGAAGCATCGCAAACGGCATTGAAGGAGGTTCAAAAGCTGTGTATCCTCATATAGCAGCAGCTGCTGGCATGTTTCAAGTACATAAAAGGTTGGAGGAGAGAGATAAATTGTTCTTTTTAACCTCTGAGGATAGGACAAGAAGCAATGGGCTTAAATTGCAGCAAGGGTGGTTTAGGTTGGACATTAGGAAAAACTTCCTAACTGTCAGAGTGGTTAAGCACTGGAATAAATTGCCTAGGGAGGTTGTGGAATCTCCATCATTGGGGATTTTTAAGAGCAGGTTGGACAAACACCTGTCAGGGATGGTCTAGATAATACTTAGTCCTGCTTTGAGTCCAGGGGACTGGACTAGATGACCTGTCAAGGATCGAGAGGACTCCGGTTTTACTCTGTGGCTTGGCAGTGAAACATGGGCACTGAGGAAGGCTGATGAGCCTTGGATTGATGAGCACTGGATTGATGTTTTCAATGCTTGGGGCCTTTGTCAGCTGCTCCATATTAAGTGGCAGGATGAGATGAGCAATAAAGATATTCATAGCCAAACCCAGCAACCACCTCCATCAGCACTACTTGTTTTTGACAGCTTTCTTGATGTTTATATTTTATTAGGATGGAAGATCAGGGAATGTCATCACTACATGGCCATAAATCACATGGGCACCAAAAGCTTCAGTGGTGTGATAAGATTGCCAGTGGCGGATGTTGACTGAACATCCAAACTTAGCTATAGATGGATCCCGGAGGTGCTAGATCTGCAAGGAGGCTACGTCCTTTGGGATTTGCTAGGATGATGCTGTAACTGAATTGTGTCCCTGCTTTAAGTGAAAAACTCACCTCAACCTGCAACTGACCCTTCTATGACAAATGACACTGGTTTCAGTTCGCAGGGACTGGCTCAGACAATTTCTTCCATTGTGGCGATATAAGTTCACATCTCCCAGGCTTTACTTTAAGGGTCAGATCATCAGTGAGTAGATTGGCCTAGCTCTATTGAAGTCAATATGAAGCTCAGTTGTCTGCTAGAACTAACTTCACTGAAGTCAAGAGAGTTATATTAGCAGAAAGTTTGGCCCATCACTTTGTGGTGTGTGTGATGCCCCGATGCCCAGAAGTCACAGTTTTGGGGGCCATCTCCCCAGCTTCACTTTTCTTTGTGAAATAGCTGGGAAAGTGCCTAATTTTTTTCATTAAAAATTCATTTTGGAGCGGCTCTGTTTCACAGCACATAATTAACTGAGTTCTACTTCTCCATTAGCCATCCCCAGAGTTTGCAGGGCTCTCACTCATCTCTTTTCCTCTTCATTTCATTCTCTCTCAACCCTTTTGTAACTCTCTCTGGCATCTCTGGAGACGCAGGGAGCCAGAGCAGCAGCTGGTGCAACTCAGCTCCACTCTGCAGAAGTCAGTAGAGCTGTGCTGATTTACACCAGCTGAGGATCTGGCTCAGGTATTTCATCTGGCAGCTGAAGGGGGAGGGAAGAGATAGCTTCCCTTTCTTTCCTACTATTCTCCTTCCCCCAAGATGCACATTTCTTAGCTCTCCCTTGGAAGGATGGTTTTGAGGGGTGAGAAGGGACAGCTGGACTCATGCCCCATGCAGTCCTCTGCCCCTCTGCTTAGACTAGCTACAAGGGAGACAATTACTGATCCATCCATAGGCTATATCTACTCTCCACACCAGTGCTGGTGGCATGTAGGCAAGGTGTAGCTTAGGGCAGGGCCGGCTTTAAGCCAATTCACCCAATTCCCCGGAATTGGGCCCCGCTCCGGGGGTCTTTGGCAGCATTTCGGCGGCGGGGGGTCCGCTCCGGGGGTCTTCGGTGGCATTTCGGGGGCGAGGGGTTCTTCGGTGCCGTGGAAGACCCAGAGCAGACCTCCTGCCGTGAAGTGCCACTGAAGCCCCGGACTGCCGCCGGGTATTGGAATTGGGCACCGTGGGTCATAAAGCCGGCTCTGGCTTAGGGTGGACAGTCACATGTTCCCACAATACCAGACATTCCAGGACTTCAGGGAATGGCATGGCCCACCCCTGCTGGTGTGACTCCGTTGCGTGACCTCACATGCACTGTGCCTGCAAAGTTACATTGTACGGGGTGGGAGGTGCCATCTGTAAGAGTGTGCTGTTCCACCCCCATAGGTGTGACCTCACATGAACAGTGCTTTTGAGGTCACGCGGAAAGGGGGAAGAGTGGCACGCTCTTAAAAATGGTGTCCCCCATCCAATATCAGACAAAACCAGGTCCAGTTTTGTCCCAGAGCCAGATAGGGGACAAACCACCCTGAAAGAGGATTGTCTAGGTCAAACCAGACAAGTGGTCTCCCTAGGGTAGCTACATGCCACCGTGAAAAGCAAGCTGTGTCCACACTTCTGGTGTGTAGCAACACATGTCAGGGAAAGACTCTAGCAGTGGGGCAGCAGCGAGACACTACACTGCTAAAAATAGTGTGTAGACAGGGAGACACGGCTTGAGAGAGTAGAGAGCCATGCAGGGTACATATCCCCAGGCTTCAGGGTGTCTTTACTCTACTCATCTAAGTCATGACTCACCATCTACACTGCTACTGATACCCATGGTAGGTATTACTAGCCAGGTTGGTACTCTACATGCCACCGAAAGAAGTGTGCAGTGTAAACATACCTATAGATTCAAAGGCAAGAAGGAACCATTATGATAATCTAGTCTGACCTACTGGTGACACAGGACAGAGAACTTCAGCCAGTGACTCCTGCCTCACCTCATCTCTCTGTGCCTCCGTTTTCCCATCTGTCAAAGGAGGGTAATGACACTTACCACCCTCATAAAATATTTACGGAAAAAGGCCTACCTCCTGTAACAGCTGTGTTCCTGCCCAGATGATCCGCAGTTGAACTTTGCTCTTTAAAATATCCCCAGAGGGTCTGTTAATACCCCAATGATAGGGCGATTTGCACCTTTGAGATCAGGTTCAGGCTTCCTGCAGACTCAGACAAACATCACTGCAAGGGTTTCTGTTCCTTTCACCTTTGTCAGGTTAGTTTTGTAACTGTAAGTGTGGAGAGACTCAATTTTTTTCTTTTTAAATTTAAGGTTGATTCAGGTTTATTTTTTTAACTGACAGCCTGGAACCCAACTGTGCAGTAAATTCAAGAAGAACAATTCTGCTGCAGTTCACAAAGCCTCATAATCACATTATAGATGGAATATGGCCCAAGATGACCCGATCCATTGTAAACAGGTCATCAGCAACCCAATAGAGGGTGACGAAGTTAGTCACCACTAAGTCCTTGGCTGGGGTATGATTTGAAGTAGTGTCTAGAGATGAGCTCTGTGATAAATGAAGGGAGGGGGTAGCTCCCTTTTATGGACACCCACCCAGCCAGTTAGCTATAAAACCCCTGTTATTAGTACCACCTGCAATAAAGGTTTAACAAGCCCACAGGTAAAAGGAGTGAGCACCTGACCAAAAGAGCCAATGTGAGGGCTAGAACTTTTTAAAATTGGGAAAAAACTTCCCTTTGTCTGTGTGTTGTGGTTCTCCGGAAAAGAGGGGAACAGGGATCTGTTATGCTGTGAGAAGCTGAAAGCCAGGTATGAAAAACCATCAGATCATACCTAAAGATTTCTTAATTGAAACTGCAGAAATGTAAGTAAATTAGGGAATGTCTAAGAAGACGTGATTAGGGTTATTTCTGTTTATTTCTTATTGGCTTGTGGATGCCTCTGTGCTAACCCCAAATGCTTTTTGTTTTGCTTGTAACCTTTAAGCTGGACCTCAAGAAGGTTATTCTTGATGTTTAAATTTTGTAAGAGGGTTTTTTAAATCTAGCAAAAGCCTAAGATCCAGATATATATTCTTTCTGTTTGTTTTTAATAAAATTTACCTTTTTTAAGAACAGCATTGGATTTTTGGTGTCCTAAGAGGTTTGTGCTTTTGTTGTTTAATTAGCTGGTGGCAACAGCTGATTTTCTTTGTTTTTCTTTCTCAGCTCTTCCCGTGGGGGGGGGGGGTTAAAGGGCTTGAGGGTACCCCCACAGGAAGGAATTCCCAAGTGTGCCTTTCTTGTTTCAAAGGGAAGCTAGTAACAGTTGGTGTGGATACCAGAAGAGGCAACCTGAGATTACACCCCACCATTGGGGTCAGTCCAAAGCCCCACCTCACAAAGAATCATATCAGGATTGGAAGGGACCTCAGGAGGTCATCTAGTCCAACCCCCTGCTCAAAGCAGGACCAATCCCCAGACAGATTTTTGCCCCAGATCCCTAAGTGGCCCCCTCAAGGATTGAACTTATAACCCTGGGTTTAGAAGGTCAATGCTTAAACCCCTGAGGTATCCCTCCCCCCCCAGGAGGAGCCCACCACACAGCCAGGGAGACCCTAGATGCCCTCTCGTCCCACCACCCCACTCTCCAACCACCCACCTTGCCCCAGCCCACTGTCAACTGGGCGATGCTTTAAATCTAATGAGCTGGGGCATGTGAAGGCCAACTGCCCCAAGAGCAACAGCTGACTGCAACTCATCACCCCAGAGTCCCACCAAGAGCCTTCAGGCCCAGATGTCTCCCAAATACTCCCAGAGCAAAGGGAAACTGTGAGTGTGGGCTGGAGGAAGATTACTGCGTGGAGAGACACTGGAGCACAGGTGTCAGCTATCCACCAATCCCTGGTGGACCCCAAACTCTTTGAATCAGAGTGATGGTGCAACCCTTTAAGGCCAACTCTTTTAACTTGCCTACAGCCAAGTTGCCTATCCAATACAAGGGCTGCTCAGGAATATGGACTTTTGCAGTCTATGAGGATTATCCCATTCTCATGCTGCTGGAAGAAGATGTAGCCAACCATGTGAGGCTAACAAAATACGTGGGGATAGTCACCTGCACCCAGGCTAAACAGACCTCCACAACTAACTCCATTCTTGAGCCTCCTACAGGGACCCAGTCAGAGGTGGTGAAACCAGACCCCAAACCAGAGTTTATGGCAGCAGTTGTAGATCCAGTTCCTGGGACCCAGCCAGAACTAGCCCAAGGATCGGAACTGGTGGAGCAGTCAGCACCAGAGCCTGTGCTTGCAACGCCACCAGAGTCAGGGGAGCCAGCACCAAAGGATGCCACAAAGCCTGAACCTGCAGCAGCAGCAAAACTGGTGCAAGAAGGCTGAAATACAACCTAGTGTACCAGCGGAGAGTGGTTGACAATCAACGGAGACAACCACATCACCTGCATCACTTCCAGTGGGACCAAGCCCAAGTTCACAACCCAGCGAGGAACTAATGTCTCGAGCATCAAGGGAGCAGTTCCAGCCAGAGCAGGAAGCAGATGAAAGCCTCAAGCGAGCTTGGACGGCGTCACGGAGCGATCCACCACCTCTTAGCTCTTCCAATACATATAGGTTTGTTGTAGAAGAAGGACTCTTATACAAGGAGACCCTTTCTGGTGGACAGAAAGAGGACTGGCATTCTCAGAGACAGTTGGTAGTTCCAACTAAGTATAGGGAAAAGCTCTTAAGCTTAGCCCACGATCACCCTAGTGGCTATGCTGGGGTGAACAGAACCAAAGACCGTTTGGGGAAGTCAATTCACTGGGAGGGAATGGGCAAGGACGTTCCTACTTATGTCCGGTCTTGTGAGGTATGCCAGAGGGTGGGAAAGCTCCAAGACCAGGTCAAGGCCTCTCGTCAGCCACTCTCCACAGTTGAGGTTCCATTTCAACATGTAGCTGTGGATATTCTGGGTCCTTTCCCTAAGACGATACCCAGAGGGAAGCTGTACATGCTGTCCTTCATGGATTTTGCCACCTGATGGCCAGAAGCTGTAGCTCTAAGCAATACCAGGGCTAAAAGCAGAAGCCAGGCAATGGCATACCTTTTTGCCAGGGTTGCCCTCAAACATCCTTACAGATTTGGGAACTAACTTCCTGGAAGGGACCATGAAACGTCTTTGGGAAGCTCATAGGGTGAACCACTTGGTTGCCACCCCTTACCACCACCAAACAAACGGCGTAGTGGAGAAGTTTAATGGGACTTTGGGGCCCATGATACGTACATTCGTGAATGAGCACTCCAATGATTGGGTGTTATAGCAGTTGCTCTTTGCCTACAGGGCTCCACCACATCTCAGTTTGGGGTTTTCACACTTTTAACTCGTATATGGCCACAAAGTTAAGGGGCCATTATAGTTGGTGAAGCAGCAATGGGAGAGGGTTACATCTTCTCCAGGAACTAACATTTTGAATTTTCTAACCAACCTGCAAAACATCCTCAAGGACTCTCTAGCCCTGGCTCGAGAAAACCTACAGGATGCTCAACAAGAGCAAAAGGCCTGGTATGATAAACATGCCAGAAAGCGTTCCTTCAGAGTAAGTGACCAAATCATGGTCCTGAAAGCGCTCCAGGCCAATAAGATGGAAGCGTCATGGGAGGGGCCATTTATGGTCCAAGAGTGCCTGGGAGCTGTTAATTACCTCATAGTTTTTCCAGAACCTACCCTAAAACCTAAAGTATACCATGTTAATTCTCTAAAGTCCTTTTATTCCTAAGAAATCAAGGTTCTCCAGTTTACAGCCCAGGAGAGAGACAGCACTGAGTGGACTGAAGGAGTCTACTATGAAGGAAAAAGCAACGGTGGCATAGAAGAGGTGAGCCTTTCCATGACCTTGGGCGTAAGCAACTGTGCACCAGGAGCTGTGCACCAGCTTCGCGCCAATGTTTTCAGCCACCCCAGCACAGACAGAATGGGTGTACCACTCCATTGACACAGGTGATGCTCTCCCAATTAGAGCCCAACCCTACCGGATGGCTCTGCAAGCCAAAACCGCATTAGAAATGGAGATCAAGGACATGTTACAGATGGGTGTAATCCGCCCCTCTGAGAGTGCATGAGCCTCTCCAGTGGTTCTGGTTCCCAAACCAGATGGGGAAATCCGCTTTTGTGTGGACCACCATAAGCTAAATGCTGTAACTCACCCAGACAACTATCCAATGCCACGCACAGATGAGCTATTGGAGAAACTGGGATGTGCCCAGTTAGTCTCCACCTTAGACTTTACTAAAGGATACTGGCAAGTGCCGCTAGATGACCCAGCCAAGGAAAGGTCAGCCTTCATCACCCATGTAGGGTTGTATGAATTTAATGTGCTCCCTTTTTGACTGCGAAATGCATCTGCCACCTTCCAGAGACTCGTAGATAACCTTCTGGCTGGATTTGGGGAATTTGCAGTCTCCTACCTTGACAATGTGGCTATATTCTCAGATTCATGGGCAGAACACTTGAAACACTTCCAAGCTGTCTTCCAGCGCATAAGGGAGGCAGGATTAACTGTTAAGGCAAAAAAAGAAGGCAAATAGGCCTAAGCAGGGTAACGTACCTTGGACACCAGGTGGATCAAGGAACTATCAACCCTCTACAGGCTAAAGAAATGTTATCCAAAATTGCCCTGTTCCTAAGTCAAAGAAGTAGGTCCAATCCTTCTCGGGCTTGGCCGGGTATTACCAACAATTGTACCACACTACAGCCAAATTGCGACCCCACTGACAGACCTGACCAGGAAAAAACAGCCAAATTCAGTTCAGTGGACTGAGAAGGTTCAGAAAGCTTTTAACCACCTTAAGGCGGCGCTTACGTCTCACCCTGTTTTAAGGGCCCCAGACTTTGACCAACCGTTCATCGTAACCACAGATGCGTCTGAGCGTGGTGTAGGAGCAGTTTTAATGCAGGAAGGACCAGATCAACAATTCCATCCTGTTGTGTTTCTCAGCAAAAAACTTTCTGAGAGGGAAAATTACTGGTCAGTCTCAGAAAAAGAATGTTAAGCCATTGTGTATGCTCTGGAGAAGCTACGCTCATATATTTTGGCGGTTCCACCTGCAGACTGAACATGCTGCACTGAAGTGGCTTCACACAGTCAAAGAGACTAACAAAAACTTCTTCAGTGGAGTTTAGCTCTTCAAGACTTTGATTTTGAAATACAACACATTTCAGGAGCCTCTAACAAAGTGGCTGATGCACTCTCCTGGGAAAGTTTCCCAGAATCAGCCGGGTAAAAATGTCCTTGTGTTCTAAGTCATTGTAGTCCTTAAAATGTGAAAAGTACTGTTTAGTTCTTCATGTAATTATTAGTAAACTTAGAGGTGCATGTATCTTATTAACTGTTTCCTAAATCTCCAGGAAGAAATCCCAGCCGGTGTGGACCCAACTTGAACCAGGCTGGCCAGCACCGTCTGTGGTTTGGGGGGTGTGTGTGTGTGTGATAAATGAAGGTGGGGGTAGCTCCCTTTTATGAACACCCAGCCAACTAGTTAGCTATAAAACCCCTGTTAGTAGCTGTTCTCTACTTGCTTTACCTCTAAAGGGTTAACAAGCCCACAGGTAAAAGGAAAGGAGTGGGCACCTGACCAAAAGAGCCAAGTTTCTTTGTTTGTTTTTAATAAAATTTACCTTTGTTAAAAACATAAGAATGGCCCTACTGGGTCAGACCAAAGCAGTATCCTGTTTTCTGACAGTGGCCAGTGCCAGGTGCCCCAGAGGGAATGAACAGAACAGGTAACACTGCTCTACAGCCAAAATGCTTCTGAAATAAATGTAGTCAAACTTTACTAATTGTGGGTCACTGAGAACGAAAATGATGCTTAAAATTGTTGATTGGCTCTAGTTTTCAAGATATGCTATTGGGTCAGTATATA